GAGAGAGAGAGAGAGAAGTCTTTTGTCTGCGCGTTCACCAGTTTCGAACCCTTAAATCGATAAACCTTTTTCATCCTCTGTTTTTTTCGCCAATCCTGGGCCGATCTCGTCGATTACTAACGCGATACAAGCGATTGGATTTATTTCCTCATGCGTTTTTCTTTTCATTCATACTTTTCATTCATCTTTTCCTTCGAGGAAAACGCACGTGGAAAACTCGCTCGCAGCGCAAAGATGATTTTCCGCGATAAAATGTATTTTTTTCCCCATTGGACTCGACAGAAATATTGATCTTGTTGATTCGAGGGTTTGAAATCATCCCGTCGTAACGGGGTTTTGCGTAACGACGGCGATTATTCATGCTAATTGAATGACTGTTGATACGATATGACATGATTATATGCAAATGTGTTTCCCAGGCTGCGGCTCAGCACGCGCTTCGCTTTTCTCTTAATCGCCTATGAATCCACTCATTGGCACTCACTGGCACGATTCGCGTAACATGACGGCGTGGATTCTCTGCGAGAGGAATGTATGAATGGAAAACACGCGCGTGATAAAGTTGTCACTTTCGGCCCTGTGCCTCGGAGCGAATTAGTTCAAGGATATTTTCGGAATTTTCCGACGAGAAACGTCGTTCTACGCCGAGACGAAATTCCTAGCAGAAAACTCAATTTTTCGCATTTTTAATAATTTTATTTCTTTAAATATCACTTCCAATTCTTTCTCCAATTAAAATTATTTTGACAAAAAGAAATGAGATGTAAGAAGATTGGTTCGATTCGATTAAAAATTATCGAGGCTTTTACAAACGCTCCTCACGAACGCTGGAGAGACGTTAACTTGACTTGAAACCTTGATAATTCCGGATGCGTGTTTCTGAAGGCGCAGCGGAACGCCGGAAGTAACACGGCGATGTATCCGACTTACGATCATTGGTGTGGAATATTTGTTAGCTTCCGGGAAACGCGCGCTCGCTTCGTCAAGGCCTGACTCACGACGCTTTTGTGCGAATTTTCGGTGCGACTTAATTTTATTTCATTGGTCTCTTTATCTTTAGTTTTCAGCTGGCGGGGCCGATTACCCTTTGGCTTGATTTATAAAACGAAAAAAAAAGCGAACCGCAAAAGCGAAGGCAAAACGAGACCGGCCGGACTAAAGCTTATCTCTTTTCCTCTGCAACGCGTCGTGCGGGATAATCTCAGTGGGCGGACCTCTTTTTCCATAACGACACCGCACCGTGTGGTAAATCGCCCCAAAAGCTCGATTGCATCTGGGAGGTCGTCCCCTGGGAGCCCTGTACCTCGGCTTTTACCGACGCGGGGCGGGTGGTGATGTTTTTGTCTTCCCGACGAAATCGGGATTTAGCCGTGCGAAAATCGAGAGCCACATCGATGCCGAAGTCGGCAACTAAGTGGAGATTTTGGAGGTCTCTTTTATCTTTATTTCCTATCTGCGTGAAAGAGAGGGAGAAAAAAGAGAGAGAGAGAGAGAGAGAGAGAGAGAGAGAGAAGAAAGAAGAG